CTTGAGATTCTAATATCCAATTCCGCAGAATCAAAATCTCAGTTTTCATACCATCAAGAACCAAAATTACATTATTCATCAGATTGAAGTAATCTTTTTTCATCAAATCACTTATCTTCTTTAGCTTTCTCTTCTTCCTTCATCTTCTTTTCCCACCTTCTCTTCTTGTAATCAAGAAGCATCTGAGGCATTTTCAGCATAAGCTTCGCCGTGTTCTCTCTTTTCTCAGCTGAAATCCTATCGCACTTGTGACCTTTCCTCTTAGTCCTCATCGCTTTCCTCTCTGGATCATAAGGCCAATCTTCTCCATTAGTCAACACTTCTTTCCTCAGCATAGCCCTCCTGCGCGCACTTATCCCTAACGGCTTCCATGCTCCCATCTCCCAGTAACCCCATACTCCTTTTGTCAGCTCGTTTCTGTATTTATCGAGTTTCGCCCTCCATGGATACTGAAACCCCGTTACTGTCTTTGCCACAGCTTCTGCAGCTTTCCCAGCCATAGCTTCTGCAGTGTTTCTATCATAGTAAATAACCAGAAACACGATTCACTAAACTTATACATTTCGTGTTAACTAAAAGCAGAGAAATTAAATGTAAAAGGGGCATGATACAATGATGATGCATTGAAGCAAAGAACAAAACTTTGAAGCCTTAGAGAGATTAAGTGATGAAGAACATCATAGGGAGAGTGAAATTGACACAGCATTTCTTACAATTAAACACAGTTTGGTCAACTATTGTTAATAGAACAATCTCTGGGTACTAATTCTTAGTTAAGAAACCTCTAAAGTTATACATTTTGTGTTAACTAAAAGCAAAGGAGATCAATTGAACGAAGATGATGATACAATGACGATGCATTGAAGCAAAGAACAAAACTTTGAAGCTATAAGAGAGAGTGAAATTATCAACATTTCTTAAAAATTAAGCATAGTTTGGTTAAAATGTTGTTATTAGAACAATCTCTGAAGAGTAAATCTTGATTACTAAGCAGAAATGTGATGACATAATCACTAACAGAGCTAATCCTGCACAGAGCCTCTTAATTTAGGGTTTTATAAACTCGACGAAACGATTCTGTAAATGGGTTTTCGTTACCGAACCATCACAATCAGATTCGATTCCGAATCTAGGATCCAATCCTCACGGCTAATCTACGTCAAGAGCAATCAGGGTTTATCTATCAATCTCTTTTACAAAATTCCTGTTAAGAAGATCTACTTTGAGATCGAGATAAGCATTCGAAGAAGAAACGAGAGAAAACTTACAGTGAAGACGAAAACCAAGCGAGGAACTTTTGAGAGAGTGTGAGAGGGCGGCGCAGAGGAAGAACACGGACCA